ATTGGATGCAGTTGATTGAAAATGGTGAAAATTCAAGGTTAAGTATGCTGGTTAGTTCTCTGCGTGTTTGTCTTTTGTTTTTTTCACCCGTTGTTTTCAAAATGTATAAATATTACAAATGTTATCAAAGATCCGCGCTCACCTTTAAAAATAAAGCATTTCAATGTAGAAGTAGATCAATTATCCTTCTATCTGCAGTCCAGCAGAAGCCATTTCAAACTGTGACTAAACTCAAAGACTGACAGGTGACACACAATTAGCCACGTGTGACTCTAAAGGTAATCTTCTTCATTTTTATTCTTTCGTTTTAAGATCTGCTAGAGATGTTGCCACGCCGCCGTAGAATCACAGTATGATGCTGGCTCCGTGGCTTTTAATGAGAAGATGGGACTTGGAGCAAAATGAAAAGGTTACAGATGATCGATTTGACAGTCGCAGGGTTCAGAAGGTCACCCTCAAATCGACAGCGGCGTATGGACGTCTACAGTTTCAACAGAACAGGTGATGCCTGCCTCCTCCAGCTCACTGGATTTAGAAAAATGACACTTTTAATATGAAACATGTCTGAATAATGGAGCTATATTTGAATTTTTGAATAAAATATGATGGAGACTGCTTTCGGCTAACGCGTGCGCTACGGCTATGGCACGTGGCTGAACGTGTGGAATGAGAAAGCTGCTTTTGGTGGGTCAGCTCACGGGCTGGTCCTGCGTTTCTGTCTGGATGAGTTTTAATGGTGTCAGGTTCTTGTCTTTCTACCAACAGACAGCTGGCGTTTAACCTGGAGTGTGAAGGAACAAATAGCACCGCCATCAATCATTTTGTCTTCTTTCTGCTCATCGAGCCTGCAGACTCTCGCTCGCACACAAATGCACAGCAGAGGTAGGAGCTGGGGATCCATACTCCCCTGCAACACACTCTGCTTTTCAGTATGCATCTTGCAGCGCACGGTATGACTGCAGGCCTGACAGCTATTACACAGCTCAGTGTGTGTCTGTGTGTGCCTCACTGCTCACTGTGGACTGGGAGTCCTGAGGGGGAATTTGGGAAAACGCAGAGGAAGTACATGCCTGCACCAAGCATGTCTGTCTCTCCCATACCGAAATGGTGAGCTCTACCTGCCTGTTAGCTAGCCTAATATTATTTAAAGGATTAAAGCGTCCCGGTGTGCAAGGAAAGGCACACAGCAGGTTCTCCACAAATGAACACAAAACACAACATTTTCATCTTTTCTCCATTAAAACCTTTTTAAGTCCTGGACAGAAGAAGAATGCACTGATGCTGTATGTTACCCATCCTGCTTTAAACTACCTCGTGGACTGGACTGGAGTATAGAAACAGACAACATAGATATCCTGTAGTTTGTGCTTCTGCTGTCTCACAGAAGGAACCGTCACTAGGTCTGCTCATATTGCTCACTAAGCCGGATTCATCAAACATTAACCAGAACATCCACTTTACGTAAGGATTCATTGACCAAACGTTTAATTATGCCTTCATATAATGATTAATATTAAGGGTCTTGTCTATACCCCAGATATTTTTTATAAAATGACTTGTTCTTCATTTGCACCCCCCACCTACATAAAAACGGAGTGTTTTGAAAATCTTCAGCCTAAAAAAACACTTTCTAAGTGGAGATTACGGAAATCTCTTTTTTGGCGATTCAGCGCAGACGCTAGCTTTTTATGGACCACCAGGTGGTGCAGTGGGGTCATTTAAATAGTGTTTGAATGAAGTGGATTTTTTTTATAAACAATGAGGAAAAACGCTTCTTCAACAACTGTTTCTAGAACAAAGCCAGAATTACCCACAACCTGCTACCGCTTCCATCCAGACTCCATGGAGCACTAATCCTGGTAAGGAGGTAGAGCTCATAAATAGCTGTATGAGTTATAATCTTATGAAAATATTGTAATAAATCTGGACTCCAGCTCTATGCAACATTAACCGAGTCATCAGACTGAAAAGAGGTGAAAATGTGTCACAGATTTCTATTAAACTCTGTTTTCTGTCCCAGAACTGAAGTAGAGTACTTCATAATTTACATAATGCTGCATATTACATCAGTACAAAGCAGAACAGGATCTATATATGTTTAATAAGCAGCTGCATCTGTGCCTTCTCTCTCCAGAGTGTTAGATAACTAACTAAAGGTGTCTGCTACCACCGGGCTGACTCTCTGTGCCTGCTCAGAGCACGGCAGCCTGGTGACAAGCCACGGGTCTGTGTGTGTGTGTGGGTGTGCGTGTGTGTGTGTGTGTGTGCGTGTGCGTGTGTGTGTGTGTGTGTGTGTATGTCAGCGTGTGTGTGTCAGCATGCGTGTGTGTGTGTGTGCGTGTGCGTGTGTGTGTGTGTGTATGTCAGCGTGTGTGTGTCAGCATGCGTGTGTGTGTGTGTGTGTGTGTGTGTGTGTGTGTGTGTGTGTGTGTGTGTTCTCCTGTCTGCTTTTCCTGGGTTTGCAGGTGTGAAGGAACACCTCAAAGGTCATTTGAGGAAGCAGTTGAGCATGCTGAGAGCCTGCCATCATACAGCTGCCACCTCAACTGGGCACAAACACACACACACACACACACACACACACACACACACACGCATGCTGACACACACACACACACAAACACCCCAAATACAAACAGACAAGTAGGCCAAATTCACACTAGAGCTGCACCAGATACACACAGCAGAGAGCCAAAACCTGTCACAAGCAGGTCATTCACTCAAACAGGGCACACACACACACACACACACACACACACACACAAAGGGCATCTTGCACTGCTGCACATTCACACTTGTAAGGTTTACACATGCAACCACTTCACACTTGTGAACAACGTGCACACATGGAAATGGACACACACACACACACGACGGTACCCTCGGTTAACTGAAACCTGGGATTGAGGCCGTGAAGACAGCTAGAGAGATTTAATCTCCTAATCTCTCCAACAAGTGAATCATAAGACGTGAACATTTGACTTTAGAAGCCCGACGTGCCGTTATTCTTCACTCTTATGTTTAGGAGAATTAAACTACAATATTTAGGCCATTTTGGATTAAAACAAATCAAATATGTAAACTGCCACAGACCAATCTAACCAACTACTTCACCTGCAGCTGGTGGAAGGATTCTGGTCTGTAAAAGCTTGCATGCGTTCACTGTCACTGCCGAGACAAAACCAGGATGTTTTACAACAAAAAGAGACACAGTTACTCCCTCTGCTGGTTGCAGGCCTCCCTCAGAAAACTGTGTATTTTCTGTGCTCTATGATCCCAAATACGAGACTGTAGGGTCTGTGCTAACAAGCCAGCACCGCTGGCCCCTCCTTCCTATGTGCCGATGGCTAAATCAGCACCGTTGCATCCTTCAAAGCGGCTTACTGGGAGGAGAGCAGCCAAACGGGCTGTGCAGGAACTCTTTAATTTGTTATGGGGCTGACGGGGAATGAATCAATGATTCAACTATCTTATCTGGCCCTACGATACGCATCTTGTAAATACATTCTCACTTTCTGGTCTCCCCCGCCGCCGCCGCCTCTCACGGCACCCCTCTCAATCTCTTCAGCACTTTGCTGTTATCACCACGATCAATAGTGAGGTGATTATTATTCCTCTAGCACAGCCCACACGTACACACATGCTGACTTCCCTCATCAGGCGCCTCAGAAACGCAAACAAAACACACACACACACACACAAGTGAGGTGTGTGAGATGGGCTGCTGATAATCCACAGTTACAAGGTTAATGTGTGGTAGTACACATGCTCCATGTCAAGCAGGGACATTAGTGTTCCTCTGCTCGCACTTTATCACGAGCAGAGTAGAAAAATGCACTTCCTTCACCCCGAGAACAACCGTCGGACCGAAGCTGAACGTCACAAACAAACCAGAGGATGTTCAGACGCAGACGCCAAGGCTTTTCTAGAGTTTTATAGAGAAAAAGATCTAAACCCACGGAGCGGGTAACGTGAACCCAAAGTGTAGATTTTACCGAACAGCAGAACTTAAACCGTAACGTTTCACGCCCACGCGTTAGAAACGCTGTTTTATCTGTAAAGCCGACAAAACAACTGAATCCTCTAGGTGCATAAAGAAATGCTCATACACACGGCTGCAGCACTAAACTGGTGTCAATCACATCCTGTTGCCGTGGTTACGAGCCTCCTCTAGAAGGAGGAGCTCTGGCAGTAGAGCTGAAGCACAGCAGAGAGGGAGGCGGAGGATCTGGTTTGTGAGATCTCTTCAAGAATCCCGAGTTCTCTTTTACATTTCTAAAAATAAAACCCTGATGAAAAATGTTGGTCACCTAAGTCTGAAACAGCTTCTGAACAACACAGGGAAACTAAAGAAATATGGAATATAGGATGTTCTTATCATCTGTTTTATTTTAGTAGTTTTACTCATTTAAAATGTATTTTTCGTCGTCCGGACAAACTTAAAAATGATCAGACGGATATTTTAGAACAGAACGTGGAATAATTTCTATTTTAAGATATTTTATTGTGCAAATGTGATTTTCTGACTCAGCTAATTCTTGCTTTGTTTTAAAAACACATTTTAAACATTAATAAACCGCTTTATTCACGGATGCATCCCAGAAAGCTTTGCTGGAGGGAGAATAAAAGCATATTCAGTACCGATGTATTGAGTGAACGCTGTTATACAACACGCTCAGCATGATGAGTTCAATTAAACCCATATTTCTGTGTACTGCACTGAAATGTCTGGTAAAGACGTGTAAACACCCACAGAACCGCTAAACTTACACGACTCACTTCTGTCAGATTTAAATGCACCTTGTTAAAACATCCAATGGGCTTTAAGTCAAGTGCATTTGGAATTTTGCTACGCACCAAAAAGGCCCTAACACTGAGAAAAAAGCAGCTTTAGAGCAGCTAAAGAGCTTATTTAAAGACCTTCACTTGGGCTCAGCAGCAACGCTTTCATTAGCTGATGCAGTTTTAGGAAAATTCCTGTCTTCAGAGCTTTTAGTCACCTCATGGTGCGAAGGTCCCATCCTCGTATGGCCGTGTCGTTCGCCGTGGCGAGCTGGCTGCAGTTGTGGTGGGGGCTCCACTTGCCAGATGTGAACTTCAGCTGACCTTTACCCTCCAGGGTGGCTGCGCTGGAGACCTGCAGAGAACCACATGACCTTCAAAAACATGTCTGAGTGCACAAGTGAGTCTCATCAGATTATCTGTGGCAGATGAGTAGTGGATTCAGTCAGGAGGAAGCTTGAATACGTCTCCAGAACCACGGCCACACCACAGGACTACTGTCCAACCAGTGGAAAATAGGAATGAGCTCTCCGAGCATCTTTTGGATTTACAGTAGTTTTTAGTTAAAAGGTTCATTCACTCGTTCTTTCTGAAATCCAGTTGGTGGCTCTGATTTGCACAGGCATGCTAGTTCCTTCAAACCTTTACACCCCAGAACGAAGAGTGAACAAAGGCAGCAGAAGAGTTGCATTTCTGTTAGCCAATCAGGGTTATACGTTTACATATGATGAATATTAATGAGCTCCACCCACCCCACCTCCGACTAACTTCTACCCCTGAAATAGGAGCACGAGAGCATCTCTTCCAAAGAAAATGACTCACAGGGAGAGACTGCAGCAAATCGAGTGGATGACACCTTTGAGGCAGCCTCCATCTTTGCATTTGGAAACTACAGAGTGAAGAATCTGTGCAGGATTGTGTTTGAGATTCACATTTTCAGCTTTTTAAACTGCAGTAATTTGACAAACAGCAGGTAATTATATAAGCAAGGTCACTCATATGAAAAGATCAGTTGTTAAATGAGAAATAAGAGAAACTTTGGACTGGTGCAGAACGTTTAGTCAAGGCTGTTTCCAATAGATTTAACCCTCTCAGGCTCAAAAGGAGTTCTGATAAAAGGACAACAACCAAGTCCTTCAGGGGAACTTCTGAATAAAATATGCTCATGAAACACGTGTGTGGAGTAACCAGGTAGGCAGGTTTTCACCGGCCTGCCTCCAGAGGGTTAAATCTGAAGTTTTTAGATGCAAAAATGAAAAACTTATGAATGCAAAGGAGACGGACTCTCACTGGGTGTTTGTCAGACCTTTATAATAAAACAATAAAGGAAAAATTAATCAAGTCCAAACGCTTCAAGGGCTTTGATTCACAGAGTCGACACTTCATCGGGCTACTTTAAAATGGAATCCAATTAATGCAGCGGGCTGGCTTTGGAAATGATCTTTCCCTCCAACTACGATGCATCTAACAATCGTAAAAAGCTGCATCCCGCTGCTCCTTTTTCCTCTCCTCCCTGACTATTTGCAGGTTTTTATCCTCATCTTTCTCCTTCTCCCATTTCGCCTCCCTTTCTTCTCTCTCCCGTCTCTGCCTGCTGGAGCAAGGATCATCGATCGGTTCGTCACCACACAGTTCCCTGGTACATTCTCATTATTTCAGCTACGAAGGACAGAAGAGGGAGGGGGAGACAGAAAGAGGACCACAGAGCAGGAGGGAGGAGGCAAAAGCAGAGGGATTAAAGAAGGAAGACTAGAGCAGGTAGAGGAGCAGGAAAATAAAGGGAATGTAGGAGTACAATATTTACTACTGAGCTAAAATAAACTGATGTCTATCAGTCTAAGAAGCAGAGATGAGTAACTCACCCTAACCCCAAAGTCAAGCAGTCCCTCATAGAGCCTGATGTTGGATACCGAAGCTATCCATTCATGAACGGATGTTGATGTTGTTATAATGTTTAGGTCCTTTGTTAGGCACATTTCCTGTCTGCACCGGTGGATCTAAACATGCTGCACCTTGAATCATCCAATGGCTCTGATCACCATGACGATGAGCCAGTCAGGTGTGGCGTCTTTCCATTCGATCATTCATGAAAAGGATCTCGTAGGTACGACGTGCGGGGAACCTTAGTGACTGGGGTGGCAGTGGCAGGAGTGTAAAATGCACACCCCATAACCGGAGGGTTGCAGGTTCACACCTCACTCAGTCCGTCACAGACCTTGTGTCCTTGGGCAAGACACTTCACCCTGCTCGCCTGCTGGCGGTGTTCGGAGAGACCGGTGGCATCTATGCGGCATCCCCACTTCTCTGGGTGCTCCCCAGAGCAGCCGTGGCTACAAATAACTCATCACCACCAGCATCAGAATGTGTGTGAATGGTGAAGGAATGCAGTGTTGTAAAGTGCCTTGAGGGGTTGTAGGACTTGAAGGTCACTGTTTATTAACCATGAAGTGCTGACATCAGTGACAGGGAGCGTGGTCCTGATGGAAGTAGCCATCAGGAGACGGAGCATTGTGGTCATAAAGGGATGGACGGGGTCAGCAACAATACTCAGGCAGATTGTGGTGTTTAAACCTGGCTCCGCTGGAACTAAGAGGACACTAAAACATCCCCGACAGCATTAAACCAGCAGCGACATCCGCTACGCTTTCGTCTTGACGCCAAATTCTAACCGGACAATCCAAATGCTGCAGCTGAAATCTGGACTATAAACACCAGGAAAGCTTTTTCCAGTCTCTTAGGTCCAGTTGTGGTGAGTTTGTTTTAATGTTCAACATGTCGGGCTTCAGAGGAGGTATTCTGCAGACCTACTGCCATCTGATTGGCTGATTGACATTGTGTTAACAAGCGACTGCAACAGTGTACCTAATAAAGTGGCAAGTGTATTTCCCTTGTTTTTTTCTAATGGGTCACATTCAGAGGTCAAAAGCTTTTAGGTTTTTCAGAGAAAACAACTTTGCCGAAACACCATCTAAATTTGGGCTGCACGATATATCGCAAATATATCGTTATCGCGATATCAGCGTGCGCAATATGCATATCGCAATGGTCAGCTCAAATGTTTGCTACACATAATGCATTCTGCCAATCAAGCGGAAGCATGATGTCAAAGCCTACTGGTTGTGCAGCACCAGGCTAAAGGTCAAAGGTGACAGATCGTCTGCTGCTGTGGCCCCCAGACTCTGGACCTCTCTCCCCCTGAGCCTGAGATCAGTGGACTCAGTGGTCTCCTTTAAAAAGCAGCTGAAGACTCACTTGTTCAAGCTGGCTTTTGTATGACCTTCTTCACCTCTCTCTCTTTATTCTGCTCTCCCCACCTATTCCACCTTCCTCAGGATCCACTGGTTTCCCTCTTTCCTGTTCACTCTCTCTCTTTCTTTACATTGTTTTTATCACAACTGTCTATTTTTGCTCATTTTAAATATATTTTTAAACATTTTCTCAATGCCTTTATATATTTTTACATTTTTTGTTTTTGTGAAGCGCCTCCTGATTTTTATTTTGAGAGGCGCTATAGAAATGATATTTTCTTCTTCTTCTTCTGATGTTTTTGAACAAATCAAATAGAGCTCTTCACCTATTTGGCCAATTGGGTGGGCTTTCATAGGTCAGATGCCCGTCCCCGAGGTGGAAGGCACTTAATTTCGATGGTTAGCAAACACCTGAGTTAGCTTTGTTCTGCCCTTTCTGCTGATTCTGCTTTTCCTGGGATTCACTGATTGCCTTTTCTTCTTCATTTTCTTTCCCCTTCCTCACATCTTTTGCTTTTCTCATTTTCAGGATATTTTTATTTCTTTGTTTTTGAATATTTTTGTTCCAGAGTTAAGTTTTTATGTCACAAGTAGTGTCGTCATTGCATAATTAATCACTGTTATTGCATATCGCAGGTTTTCCTGATATCGTGCAGCCCTAATCCAAATAAAATAAACCACCATTGCATTATAATCACATAATCTCATAAGTGACTAAAACTTATTGAGCCCCTGCATCCTATAGAGGACTAGCAGCTCTTTAAACAAAAGCTATGTTAACGTCATGACCGACTGCAGCAACATCTCGCTGCACCGATGGTGAAACAGCAGAGCTCGAGCTTCGTGCATCCCAGACTCCCAGCTTTATTAGCGCTCTAACCAAATTAGGGGCCCTAACAAGGCGGTGCACACAACACTAGGGGACGCGTTCATTTAGGAGGCAAGGCGCTCTAATGCAGAGCTTTCTGTCTAAGCACCATCCATTCATGCTCTCTCTGCGCTCAGGTGTGTTAGTGTCTGCACTTTAGCTTATGTGTGAGAACAGATGCACACGACAGGGTGTGTAGGTGTTCTCACTCAATTCCACCAGCAAGTCCCCCCCCCCCCAAAACACACACACACACACAAATCTGTCTTTTAAACAATACACACTGCTGCACTTATACCCACAGTCTCCTCTTATATATGCGCGCACACACCGGCAGCAAACTTACACCCTAATCCAGGCCCGGCCCTTGAGAGAGACACATCCACACTGCAGCTGGACATGACTTGAGATGAACACATCACCCTCTGACAGACTGAAGGAACGGCAGTAGAAAGTGGGATGAAGAAGGAGGGAGAGCAGGAAGTAAGAAGATTAGCATTCTCATCAGCACTGGAGGAATTTGTCTTGGCTGCCTGGCTCTTCCTCTTTACATTCCCGTTCTCCTCATCAAGCCTACTCGCTTTCCCTTTCCTGACTCACTCTCCCTCCCTCCTAATCTCCATCTTTGCAATAGCCAGAACCTTGCATCACTTCCTCTTACTTCATCCTCCTTCATTCTCATCCTATTCCTTCCCCACACATTACCATCCACCTATGTCCGTCTCCCTTGATGCAGAAATAACGAGTGTACTGTCCAGTGTCTGTCTCACAGAATGTGATTAGCATCCCACACACCTCTATGGTGCATTGATTCTCACACTGGGCTTAAATGAACCTGAACTGGTCCAACTTTAAAAGCTTTTTGATGATGCTTAGGCTCAATGTTCTGAGTAACAATAAATGGTAAAGATAGTATGTTAGTGTGCTTTATGACATGAAAGCCCACCAGTGCAAATAAGGTCTAAGTTAAAATTATGGCAGCAGACAACATAACAGCAAGACAAAACTTCATAGATGTCTTTATCCTGTATATGAAAGATCCGTGCTACTAAACTATCACCATGTGAGCACACATGGGCCCCGACCCCAGGCTTGGCTGGAGCGAGACTGCAGTAACCCTTCAGGTTGAGGTCTCCTGTGTGGGAATGTATCTAAAGCATTCCCACACAGGAGACCTCAGCCGCTTCCTATGTGGAAATGGAGCAGTCCCGATGGTTGTTGTCACTGGTCCTGCTTCTG